ATTGGAGTTGGGGCCATTGATAAATCGGATCTTGAGGCATGGCAATATTCCAATAGCAAGATAGTCAACATTGGCCTTCCTGCATACATGTTTTTGCAGTGTTTTTTGCACTCTATCAAGAGCGGATCAAGTGGTTTTGTCATGCGTATGGAGAATCAACTCTCATTAATTATATTAATGTTTTTCTTGTCAAAATATGGGGTGAATTTCATTTGTGAGCAAGAGGAGAAGAGTCATATTTACTTCGGTCATTCTTTCTACAGGTGATGGTCTTGAAATGACTTCTGTGAATAAGCCTGAGGAAAGGACATTTGATTGGTTTTTCAGCCCAATCTCTATAATGATGGAGCAGCTTAAAGAGGCTAATCTTCAAGAGAGTGAAGAGGCTTACCTGTGCAAGTTGACTCTTTATTATGGAAATCTCTAGAGAATGGAAGCATGGCAAAATGGTGGATTTCCACCAGATGATGAAATTCGGAGAGCTCAATTGATTGGTATGAGTAGAAAGTACAGTTAGAATGCTCTTCTTATACACACGTTGCTTCTTTGTTGACTTTGCCTTTCTCTATGTTGTCGTAGAATGTTATATATTCAAAATATAATATTTAAGTTAGTGAGATCTCAAAGAGGAACCCTGAGTGGATTATATTGTTTATTTTAACAACTGGGATCATCTGTTTTTTATTGAGCCAAAGTGCGAATATGTTATTTTAGGCATAAGTGTTCATTATAAAAGATTTCTCCCTCACTTCCCCTATAATTTCTTTACATAGAATACATCTCCAGGGTTGGAGTTAGAGAAAGTGGAGTTCATAATCTATAAAGGGAAGTTCGGGGGTAAAGGATTTCCTTTGTTGCAAAAAGGAAGTTCACGGATGAATGATTTTTTTGTTGCGAAAAGCAGAATTCTAACTCTTTGATGAAGGAAAAGGATTAAGGAACGCTTGGGGCCTTGACTACTTCTATTAGTGGTTTTGTCATCAACTATGAAAAGGAGATCTATTACAAAGCACAAACTTTGAATTGATCTGTGTGGTAGAATTCTCCCTTTCATAGTTGAGGACACAACCACTCATAGAAAGAGCCTAGGCCCAAAGAGTTTCCTTCTCATTCATGAAAGAGTCAGGAATCTGCTTTTTTAGCTCAACTCCCTTCTATTCATAGATTATGAATTTCACTCTTATTTCCAAAATATAACCATAGAGATGTGTTCTATGTGGATAAGGTTTTGGGGAAGATGAGGGGGAAGCCTTTCGAACGAACCCCTCTTATGCCTACAGTAAATGTATCCCCACTTTGTCTCAATAAAGAACGGGTGATACCACTTGTTTAATCAACACATATAATCCACTCAGGGTTATACTTTCGCTTTGGGACCCTCCCAAGTTGAATAGCATAGTTTGTAAATTGCAGTTGATTTGGTGCTTGGATTGAAGGTTGCTTATTGATCTCGGTGAATACCGGCCATTTCATAAACCAGATTACTTTTTATATAACCAAGCTTCAAATGAAACTTTGTGTCTACATCAAAGTACACCTAATGTGCTTGGCTGACCTACCCAGCTACTTTTATAATTACTTTCGAGAATTTTTTGTCGATTACATCTCTTATTATCATATGCCACTCTTATGATTATTCTTATTGAGTCTCTGCTTCCCTCTTGGTTGTTATACTTCCCTATGTGCTGTTATACTTGGATATGTCTTTATTAATATGATTTTAAAGCACCTGATTTTCTCATTCATAATATGCAAACAGGTTGCAAGGTTTTGGTTTGACACTGTCGAGGCTGCCAACCTTCCGGTGTAGGTTTCAAGATGAAGTGGTAAAAGTACTATTGTATGAAGCTCAGAAAATGGAGCACAATGACAATGATGGAGTGGAGGCTGCTGTATAGTTCTAGTTCACTTATTCTTGTTGGTTGATTTTCTTGCGCTTCGTGTTCTTATTTGTGTTCTTGTTATCATTGTTATTATGTTGTGTGTGAGAGAAAGGGGGAGAGAGAGAGATTTGAACTGGAAAATTGAGGTTGGCACCAACATAGATTGTGATTTGAACCCAAGAATTGAGGCTGAGGCCAAAAATTCTAGGCAAGGCTATGGCGCTATAACAGCTTTGGGGAGTATCTGTACTAGCATTAGTTAAAATTCACTTTTATCTCTATTTCTTTGAAAAGATGTGCAGAAGTGGTGTCCACAGTTCAAATAACATGCTCAAGTATCACGAAGTTTTTAAATAAAGCATAGGCCGATACAACTGTGTAATAACATCGATTTGTTATTTCATAACTCCAAAATTTGTCATTTTAAAAAAATATCACCAGATAAATCCACTACAAATCGGTTTTTTTTTTTTCTGAAGTATAAATCAATAGTCGGTGAAGGATAAGCAAAAGAATTGTTCTGTTTTCCCGCATATACGCTTGATACTGTTTTACATGGGATCGGCCACTTCCCAGTATGGATATCTATGCTGTTTTTCAGAACCTTGCTGATATCTTATAGGAATCCTATCGTGGAAAGGGTTTTGGTGCGTCTGTTGCACCTATTCAAATCCGGCCCTCTTCAAATGTCAATATTAGGAATGGATTTTCGACTGAGTTTTACGAGTGAATAATCTCAATTTCTATGATCATGATTCCAAAACCAAAATGTGGATTTTGACCCTTAACAAAAGACAATTCAAAGTCTGGATTTTGGACAGTGTTATATGACTCGATAATCTTGATCTCTATGATCATGATTCCAAAAACAAAAAGACGATTTTGAATATTTTTTTTTGGTTTTGAGTAATTTAGTCAGGATAAAGAGCTCTTAGCTGTTTTTAAAATAGTTTTGAGGTTTTTTTAATGCATTATGTGAGGATAGACGCTTAGACCTTAGTTGGGGCTTAGGTGTGCTATCATCATGATTCCAATCTGATTCTCAGTGGATTTTGAGTTCCATCTAAAAATAATGGAAACTAATGGTCCAAATGTTTTTTTACTAGAATAATTATTTTTAGTTTTTAAAATTTATTTAGTTTTCATATTCATGATTTCCATGTTAGAGATTACATATCTTTAAAAATAAAATCTTAAAATCCATCTAAAAAATAAATTTATTAAGAAGCCCGCATTTCTACATATGTCATAAAAACCGGGTCCTTTTGTAAATCATCAAAAGGTTTTAGGTAATTTCGTCTTTGTATTTTTTTTGTTTATGCAAAATCATGGATCTATAATGGATAACTACCTAGAGTTGTTGAGGATGTATGTTAGATCTTATCTCTAGGATCATGTTTTTAAAATGGATTGCATTTAAATAGGACCCCACCTAAATTTTGTCTTTTATTCTTCTTTTATAAATTATTATTTCCATGGGAGTTTTGATGATTTCCTCTATTATTGGGGTCAAATTAATACTCCCGCTACCAACTACTAATTATTTTAATCAACCCATCAACTAAACTATGCATGCACCCAGTAAAAAAATACTTCCTTATGCAGAATAACTAATTAATTAGTGCAATGAATCAATCAATTAATTAAACGAATCAATACTTTTCTCCAACATCCTTTGTAAGAATACTACTCGTTGAAAATGCACAATTTGCAGCAACAAATTGGACTAGAGAAAGAAATTCTTTCAATATTTTAATATCTATAATACAAAATATATCATTACTTATACAAATATATGCTCCCTACAATTTCTCTAATTTCCTCTATACAACTCAAATACATGCGACACACCACTCACCATACTCTCACCCACACATACACACACAAGACCACACATAACTTGTACGCATATGAAAGCACCAGATAACATCTTTTTCTCTCTAAGCTGTACTTCTTGGGACTCTCCCCCTCTCATGACCTCTATCGCCTTTTTTTTGAAAAAATTCCAAACCAGAACGAGACTTTTTAGACAAACTACTACCTATAAAATTTTTTAACAAACTTTTACCTCAGATTGAGCATTTCCAGCAAATACCCCTAAAGTCAAAAAAGTCATATTTTTTTTGACAAAAATGCTCATAGTGCCGGACCGCCACCATTTTGTGCTAGACAGGATGCCCAAAGTGTTCGACCATCCCTATTTTGTGTCGAAACATATGCTTTCCAGAAGCCTGAAGTACCGAACCGCCCCCATTTTGTGCCGGACCGCATGCCCAAAGTGTCGGACCACCCCTATTTTGTGTTGTACCACATGCTTTTCAGAAGGAAAGTGTCGGACCCCCCTCATTTTGTGTCGGACCGTATGCCCAAAGTGTTGGACCACCTCTATTTTATACCAGACTGCATTCTTTCCAGAAGCAAAGTACCAGGCCGCATGCTTTTCTGAGATTATTTTTGTCTTCATTTTACTTTTTTTATAACTTTGGGGTATTTGCTAGAAGAGTTAAATTTAGGGTAAAAAGTAAAAAAACAATTTTGGTTCAAGTTGCATAAAAATCCTATTCTTGGGGGTTATTTGTAATTTTTCTATTTTTTTTTTCTTTGACCTTATTTTCTCTCTTAAAAGAATATTCTTTGATGGATTTTTGAGGTGCATCTGTAATCCTACATTTTAAGGTTGCAACCAGATATAAACTTTTTTCATATTTTTTAAATATAATTTGATCATAATTTTTAAAGAATAACATGAAGATCATGACTATGAAAAGGGAAATGACTTTGTGAGATCCTCTCACATCCATGAGTGTAAGACCTCAAAGGATCACCATTAAATTTGACATAAATTTTTTAAAAAATCAAGTTCCACACGTATGTGATAACTTTTTTAAAAATTTATGTCAAATTTAAAAGTGAACATTTGAAATCCTACTCACATTAGTGGGGAGGGTCCCCTTATAACTTTACTCATATGAAAAAAAAAAAAAAAATGAAAACTAACAATAATAGTTTAATTCCATCCCTCTCTATCACTTCTCCTTTCACATAATAATAGTTTAATTCCATCCCTCTCTATCACTTCTCCTTTCACATCAATCTCTCTCTCCTCCATTCCTTTCCTCAAATCAATAAATCTATCTTCTCCACCCCTTTTCTCCAATCAATAAATCTATCTTCTCCATCCTTTTTCTCCAATCAATAAATCTATCTTCTCCTCCCCTTTTCTCCAATCAATCACACTCTCTCTCTTGCATCCCTCCTCTCTCTGTCTCTCCACTTTCTCACTCCCCCCTCCTACTCAGGCACCTTTCTCTCCTTTCAACTTTGGGTGTCACCAAACGGAGGGGCAGCCATCGTCGACTTTAAAAATCGTGTTGCCTCCAGGACCTAAAGCAATGTATATCCATAGCGCTCCCAAAACCATGGATTATTGGACTAACCCTCTGCAACTAATCCTCGCAACCCTTTTTATAATCATCCTCCTCCACCTATTAATCAGGAAAAGAAATCTCCACAGTAAACAGGCTCCGGAGCCCGGAGGATCATGGCCGCTGATCGGCCACCTCCGAGTCATCTCTGGTAATGTTCCTCTCTACAAGAAATTAGCTTCTTTGTCCGATTTGTACGGGCCTGCCTTCACCCTACGCCTGGGCTTTCACCGGATGCTAATACTCAGTAGCCGAAATCTCGCGAAACTTTGCTTTACCGAGAATGATCGAAATTTCAGTACCCGCCCAAAATCCCAGGCCGCAAAAGTCATTGGTTATGATTCGGCCATGATAGGATTTGCCCCAAGTGGTCCCCACTGGCGCAAGGCTCGGAAAATCACGACCGTCCATCTCCTCTCTTTGAAGAGCCTGGAGGCGATAAGGCACGTGCGTAATCAGAGGTTCGCACATGTGTAAGGGAGCTGTACGGGCTGTGGGTGGGCAATCGGCAGGATCCGGTGAAGGTGGATATGAGGGATATTCTTGGGACCCTGACTTTAAATTTCACGGCGAGGATGGGCGCCGGAAAATGTAATATCCGGCGAGATGACGTGGAAATCCGGCGAGTCAGGGCTTTGATAGAGGAGACTTTCTTTTTGATGGGAGCTTCTTCTTTGTGTGATGCTTTGCCTTTTGTTTGGTTCTTGGATTTAGGTGGATATAAAAGAAAGATGAGGAAGGTGGCAAAAGAGCTTGATTTAATCGCGAGGGGCTGGGTGGCTGATCATCGAAGACGGAAAATAATTCCCGGTGGAGATTCCGGCGAGTACTCCGGCGACCGGGATTTTATTGATGTGCTTCTCTCACTAGTGAAGGAGGGGGAGTGGCCGGGTTCCCATGAGGTGGACACTGTCATCAAGGCTATTGTCCTGGTACGAAAACAACCCTTTTGTCTTTTTATACTCGACAGTCTATATCCATAGCAAAAAATTATGTTGTACGTATTTTTTTAAAAGACTTGATAAATCATTCACTCTAAATTTAACAGGAAACTTGCTGCAAACTGAAATGAATGGACAAGGGTAATATAATCGGTGCGGTTTGTATGAAGCTGACGCTCTAAACAATCAATGTAACTGCACTTTCAAATAGTGTCAAAAAACGTGGTTTTAATACTGCAAATATTTGTGATAGCCCTAAAATATATTTTCGTTTATAATTATGAAATTTAAGACTTCAAAAATAATGGAGATCGAGCATATCCATGAAAATTTGAAAATCTTGAAAATTGACGGTCCAAAAATGCATTATAAGATGCACTAATTCCAAAACTTGAAATATGCATTACACGATGCACTACTTCCAAAACTTGAAATCCATTTTTTTCTCATGTCTATGCATCTTGAGGTCGAGATTATCAATTCAAGGATATTTGGCATCAAAACAACCTCTTCTAGTGAAATTTTTGATGCGCGCCCAATTTGATTATTTAGAACCTTGCACTTATATAAACCATTTCCTAATCGAAATGGACTATTTAAACCTCATAAGCCATTAGAGGATATGGTGGTCATATAGATTATGAACCATGATTTAGAGAGGGTGGTCATATAGATTATGAACCATGATTTAGAGAGGGTGGGGCCCATCAATCTTAGTGATTCTTCAACTCACTACGATCCATAAATTCATTGGGCAGTGATGACCTTTTGGTGGATTATATTTTTCTGTTACATGGATTTCAAAATGAATATGGAGACCAAACTATTTTCTTCTTTAGTATAAATGGGTACAGGGAGTTGAAGTGAAATCGGGCATCTAGGGGTATTATAAAACTCAAGAATTTTACATCAGATTTTATATATAATGGCTAAAAGTGATTGGGACATTCTTATGCTAAAGATAAATAGTCTTATTATATGCTTTTCTTGAATATAGGATCAAAGAGTGTGTCTGAGGTAGAATGTGACGTGAATATAAGGCAATATGATCATCTCTTTTGCAATGAGTGACAGCTCAGACAATGTATCTTATATTATACAATCGCT